ACATCCCAAATATTACCATATGAACCCATCCACCCACGCTTCCGCTGGCGAATTTGGCCATCGCCTTCAAGCATCTGGATCGTGCATTCATAATAGCCAAGAAGCTGCGAAAAGATCTCGAGAACCTCCCAGTCCTTGTCGGACAACTGATGCTCTGGCTCACAAATATACGGCAGTTTGGCGGACCTCTTCACGGTACCCTTTTTCGATCTATGTTGTTGTTCGAAATCGACCCGGTATCGCGCAATAAGCAGTTCAATATAGTCACGCAATTGAAGCGCTCGTCGGATCATATACAATTGCGAAAGCCATCGAGTATCATTATCCAGAACAACGTCCAAAGGCTTCTTAGTCTTGACTTTGAGGTCAGGCGACTGGTCGAAGGCGGTCCGTTGGAGCTCTCGCAGCATGTAAGTCAGCTTGTCAGATCTGTGGATAAAGACCACAATATTGTGCAACTTGCCCACTGGACCCCTTTTCTGCCAGAGCAAGTGCTCAGCCTCTGATAGAGGCATCTGCCCTGATAACTGCCGTTCGAACGCGTCAGCTCTGTGGCCGAAAAGTATGCTTTTGCCCGACAGGTTTAGAGTAGGGCCAAAACAGCGCCCTCGCCTGGACTTGCCAACGAAGCCCAGCTCTCCACCAATTATCTCCATAGCCGTATCGTTGTTTTCCGCGTTGTCCAGTGTGAAATAACCAATTTTGTCTTGAATCTGATAGGCTTCGATAACGTCGAGGATTTCGGTCGCAATGTTGGTGCCTGCGTGGCTGACGCTGAGTTCAGGGACCCCTATCGTAAGCTTGCAAGGCTTGTTATTTTCGTCCCTGAAAAAGCAACATACTCCATATAAAGCATGTCGATTTCCAGACCTCCAGCCGTCAAATGAGATGTGGATACGGCCCGGTGCCTTGCCGAGTACCTCAACAACCTTCTGCTTGTGCTGTTCGAAAGCTGCAGCAACTTTTTCTTTGATTGTCGTGTGGGTAAGATTGGCGCCACGAACGGAGACGGACGGGTTCAAGTAGTCGAATATTTCTCGCAGTTCGTCTTCTTCTGCGATGGAAAAAGAATGGTTCCTGGCGACAATCCAATTCATTAGAAGCCGTTGGAAGTGATCGCGGTCGAAACGCTTGATAAAAGTGTTCGCAATTGCTTGCTCTCGTGGATTGTGCAAGTCAAGCTTCATGACATCCACGATGGACCTTTGCCCCTTCGCTTTAGCACCAATAGAATCAGCTCTTTTTTCAGCAGTTCCCTTCGTCTTATTGGACGGAGCGCGAATTCCATGTTCGGTAAATAAGTGATTATACGCGTTTTGAATGCCATCGGAGTCAAAATTTCCCGGGCAAGGGTCCTTCTTGCGAATACAGGCTTGACAGACCCATCTGCGCTGATCGTCCTTTTGAATGTCATATCCAAATAGCCAGGCCCAAGAACCAGTATCTCTGCTCCGTTCGGAGAGCGCCCAGCCACGGAAATGATGCCGAAGCGCTGCTTCATGTTTCGCTTCGTCTTCGGAAGGGATGTCGGTCCGTGTCGAAAAGGGGTCCGGCGTTGAAGGTGTTGAAGGCGTTGGAGGCGGGGTTGGGGACGGCGTTAGATGGTGAGCATTAATGCAGGGATCAGATGAATCCATCATAAATTAAATCTCGCGGTCGCGAGGTTGAAATCGCGTGAATAATGATGCAAAATACGAAGACGAACTAAAAGAATGAATAGGAGATAGGAGTGGAACTTCTGGGCAGAGGGAATAGGGAGGTAGGAGTGGAACTTCTGGGCAGAGCTACCCCTGACCAGCGCCAACAGGACCTCATTTCGGTGAATTTGGGAATGATAAGATAAAATGGCTTGGCCGAGGCTAGACAGACCTTCTGTAACGGTCCCAG